GGGGGGAAAGAAGCAAAGGTTGAACCCCAAATAATGCTATATTAAAAAGTGTAAAAGGTGTCAAAATATCAGGTAAATTGTTGTGAGAGATGTCTGCACACAGTTATTAAAAACACAATTTTTTGGGATTATTTTCAACTTTTGCAATTTTTAAAATTTCAGAGATATAACCAAAAACATTCAAACTGGCACCATTTTAAATGTCCCACAAAAAATGTAATAAAATTTGGAGACATTTTTGAGAAAATTTGGAAAACGTTAATGTTCCACATAAAGTATACCCCTAAAATTCAAAATATCCATTTCAAATTCGCAGGCACTCAAGTTCAGTCAGACCGACCAGATTATAATGTTTGGAAAAAATTGAATGGTTTAGATAACAACATATCCCTCTGATGGGTGGACTAATGTACGTTTCACCATCAACCAAATTTTCAGGATCAAGAACCCACAAAACGAATTCTTACCATAAGTGTTAGAGGAAGTAATTTACTACATACAGGAACCAGATTTATCAATTTTTTTATGTCAAGGTTCCACAATAGGATTTTTTCTACTGAAAAATCACCTCTTTCTGCTGCAGCATTAGAATATTTTCACTTTACTATACAAGTACTACTATGGTGAGAAAGTAAAAAGGGATAAAAGGATATTTCCTCTTCATTAAGCTTATTCATACATCTGATTTTCAACAGCCTTTTGTACTTGAACAAAAATTCCAGAAAACAAAAGTAATGTACATATTCAGTGATCCGCTGACCAGGACAAAATAAGAGCACTGTTGTTAGTATGTTATTGAATCTTATTATTAATAACAATTCTGAGAAAATTCATTATTTCTCATTACCCTGGACTCTCATTCTTGCACTGTGATAATGATTTTGAGGTACCCGAAAGAAACTTTCCTGACAGACAGTTCTACATGAAATTTCTTCTGTTAAGCAACAAGCAGGTAAGTTTACCATACATGAGGTTTACCATAAAACATATGGAAGCAGATGAAATTCTAAATTTCAGAGACTGGTGGCCTGAGAAAAAGGTTCCATGGGATCGAAATATGATCTTTAAACCTTCACTGTTTATGTTTACATAGCCCAATTAACATCAGTATGAGATAAATGTAAGAGAAATTATTGATAAGCCAAATGAACATGCTTTCATACTTGTGCATGATCACTGGAGTACTTATTGCTTCTGGGTCCTGCAAGATCCATCACAGAAAGATTCCTCTTAATGTGGAAATAATTACTGACAAAGAAGAACCTTCAGTTAATACCATCAAAACCCATTACTTTTGTACGGAATTGATAGCACGGCCAATCCACGAGAAAGAAGCTAACAGACGTGTTTTTTCTGAGGACAACCTTGACGATACTGACTAAAATCAACGTTTAAATATTACAAAGTGTTCAATTCCAGTTTTGAAAACTAAGTATGCATACTTTTTAAGGTCAGAGTATGATTTTCACAAACAGAAATTAGTATAAGTTAGTCAATTACAGAAAGTCGCAGAAAATATATATTTTCACAGTAACTAGTCATTAATATATTGTAAATATTCATCACGATAAGGGTATCACACACAATTTTTTGCAAATTTTGAAAACCCTCCTATGTAAAAATTGTTTCATTTTTTTTGCCTTCCTGAAAAGCTGCAAGCGACTTCTGCCCTTTACCAGTTCATGAATATATAGCAAGAACAGACCTGAAATCAATAATTCAGCTTTATGTATCCAATTGATATCAACACATCCTTCAGGTATTAATAACTGCACCAGGGCTTCTTCCGCAGAAGTAATGACATGTTCACAGCCACTAGATAAAATGCAACTCTTTTCCAATTGCTCCAACATCTACAACACACAAACCATCTTGTTCTATGACACTATTGTAAATCATAATAACCAAAATACGAAACTAAATTTAGTGTTGAAAAGAAAATTCAAAATGTGTGTAGTTTTAGTACAGTAATAAATGAAGAAATTATTTTGCTTTTAACTTTGTGACGTGACTTTATCTAACAAGTTAACTGAGCCATGATGTAAAGGGCTTGAGGCAGTAACCAGGTAAGCCACACCAGCCACAGCTAGCCAGCAAGCCATCTGTTACTCATAAATTTTATAATCTTGATTTCAATTGAAGTGTGTGTCATCTTGTTACTGCCGCAAATCTTTCATATCATTTGTATTCTTTGTATCCAGACATGTTAAATTAACATCTGAAATATTTTTTGTCAAACCTTACTTCCTGAGAATAAACATTTTAATTTTCAAAACCTATTTGATTATTTTTATTCACAAGTCAAACCTGCATAAATGAGGTATCATTTGCTATTGCTTCAGACGTTCTTGTCCGTAAAGCTTCATGGTGTAAAATTGCATTGCAGGTATTGCCCACAACAGCTGCCAATCTTTGTTCTAAACCCAAACGGGTTGTTCTCTTCTGCAATGCACATTCAAATGCTGCCATGACTTCATTTAAAGCAGGATTTGCTCCTGCTGCCCATTTCAGCCGTTGTTCAACACTTGCTACCAATATATTTTGTTGTTCCTGAGCTTCATTTAATCTTGCTTGAAGGGCAAGCAAAGCTGAAGACGTTTTTCTGACTTCTCGCATGAATGTTGTTCGATCTATATTACACAAAAATATATCAACAAAAAAGATATCATATCCAAACACTGATCACAATTTCAATTGGAAACATGTGTACTTTACAACAAAGAACATTCAAATTATTTTTGAGATTTTAAACAATTAAAAATGGAAAACCTGAACATACTTATTGGCAATAACGTAGACATGGGGGCATTCTGTAGTAAAAGATCTTCATACAACCAGTGATGAGCTGTAAGCTGCAGTTGAAGTCTCTGGGAGGTTGATCGTCGAACTTCACATTCTTGTTGTGCACTTATTGCTAACTCACGTCGTCTCCAAGCACTTTCTAGGTTGCTGGTGAGGCCTGATACTTGAGCAAGAGTAGCTGTGCTGACTTTTCCACGCTTTACACAAAGGTCAACAGCTTTATGAATCAATTCTTCTAAAGAAACTTTACTTTCTGCTCCAATATCCCTCTGTTCCACTTCCACTGTTAAAACAATATCGAAATTAATACATTAAGCGAAAGTAAATGAAAATATCCATCCATCCATCCATCCATCCATCTACTTAAGTAATTGGTAAAATAATGAAACAAAATGCTGGAGTTAAAAATATATATCTTTATATTTTTCAAATATCAAAAGTTTCAATAAAAATTTATTTGAAAAAGTTGTCAATTATCTTGCGACAATCAAAATTTGAGGAAACAAACATCAACATTCTGTTGAATTTTACAGGATGTTTCATGGACAATGCAGGGTGTTAAACACTTCCTTCTAACTAGTGCATCACTATTTCTGGAGACAGAGAGAGAGAGAGAGAGAGAGAGAGAAAGAGAGAGAGAGAGAAGAGAGAGATAAGAGAGAGAGAAGATGAGAAAAAGAGAAGAACGAAGAGAAAAGAGAGAGAAAAAGAGAGAGAGAGAGAAAAAAGAGAGGAGACGAGAAACGAGAGAGAGAAGAGAGAGAGAGGAAAGAGAGGAGAGAGGAAAGAGAGAGAGAAAGAGAGAGAGAGAAGAGAGAAGAGAGAGAAGAGAGAGAGAGAAAGAGAGAGAGGAGAGAGAAAGCAGAGAGAGAAGAGAAAAGAGAGAGAGAGAGAAAGAGAGAGAGAAAGAGGAGAGAGAGAAAGACGTAGAGAGAGAGAAATGAGAGAGAGAGAAAGAAGAGATGAGAAAGGAGAAAGAGAAAGAGAGAGAGAGAAAGTAGAGAGAGAGAGAAAGAAACCGGGAGAGGAGCCCCACCACCAAGAGAGGAGAGGAGAAACAGACGGAAGAGAAAGCAAAGAGACCGCACGAGAAGAGAGCAGAGAGAAAAGTCACACCGCCAGAGAAGAGAAAGCAGAGGAGAGGAAGGAGGCAGAAAGAAAGAGGCAGGAAAGAGGAAAGAGAAAGAAAGAGAGAGAGAGACAAGCACCCACCACCAGACAGAGAAGAGAGAGATCGAGAGAAAGAGAGAGAGAAGACGAGCCGAGAGGAAAGAAGAGAGAGCACCGAACAGAGACGAGGAGAACGAGCACCCAGCACGACCGCCACCACCGCACAAAGAGAGAGAGAGACGCCCCCGCGAGAGAGGCCAGAAAGAGGACGCACGAGAAAAAGAGAGAAAGAGAGAAAGGAGAAGAGAAAATAAGAGAGAGAGAGAGAGAAAGAGAGAGAGTAGAGAGAGAAAAGAGAGAGTAGAGAAAAGAAGAGATGAAAAGAGAGGAGAGAGAAGGAGAGAGAGAGAGAGAAAGAGAGAGAAGTAGAAGAGAGAGAAAGAGAGAGGAGAGAGAGAAGGAGAGGAGAGGAAAGGAGAGAGAGAAAGAGAGAGAGAGAGAGAAAGAGAGAGGAGAGAGATCAAGAGAGAGAGAAGGAGAGAAAAGAGATGAGAGTGATAAGTAGTTGAGAGAGAGAGAGAAAGGAGAGAGAGAGAGAGAGAAGAGGAGAGAGAGAGAGGAGAGAAAGAGAAGAGAGAGAGAAAGAGCGAGAGAGAGAAGACGAGGAAGAGAGAGAGAGAAAGAGAGAGGAGGCTTTTATGGTTGTGCTGGATGAGTTACCCTGTACATGTGGACAGTCATTCTGAAGACACTCTTAGTGACAAGTCTTAAATTAAGACATGTCAGTTTACATCAGTAAGCTTGATATTAATATACTGTTTAATATATTTTTTAAGAGTCAGCTGCTCCACACAAATCCAACATTCAACATTTTAGAAGATAAAATATTTTATTGCAGAAAATGATGTGAAATATACAAATATTAAATTTTTTAGAACATCAGAATGATCAATATAACCTGCAATATACTTAAAAAGGGAGGGAAGAAAAGCAACTTTAATTTAACACCCACAACACCTAGAAGAAGGCCTTTTTTTGTACATTTTTTCAAAATTTTAAAGTTTTTTTCACAATAATACTCAATAATAATAATTACCATAATTAGCAACAAAATTATTTAGAATACTATGCACACGCAACACTGAACAGTACCTCTTCAAATGTAAAGCAGGACTAAATAATAGTTTAAAGATTAAATTAACTTCGAATGCATAATAAAAACAATGCCACTAACCTGTTACATTGAGTCCCAAACGTTGGTGTAAGAGGAAACATATTGCTAATGCTAGAGTTTGAGAAGATACACCCAGCATCTGCCGTCGCACATAGTCAGCAGTAAATCGTCTGATAGGTTTATTGAGACGATCATCATCATAAATGGGGGATCCCATTCGAGCCATTTGAGAACACATGGCAAAGAAGTCCTGTATTGTCTGTAGGCGTTTTAAGAGAAAAATGGAATCTAAAACAGCTCTGGTGCGATCACTAAATACAGGTGCCTGCAAAGTAGAAAATTGGATATTAGTCACCACCAGTCTAGTTTAAGATGAAGTGTAAGGGGCATTGGTATTCATTGTAAATTATGAAATATTCAATATCATATAACTCTCATCAGCAGTTTTTAGAAAAAAATATTCTTAATAGATTTACACCATTATAATCCCACGATTTTATCAGTAGCTGATTATTCATTAATAAAAAAACACATTATTTTACAGCATTAATTCAGTGCCTAAATTATTTTCGAAACTTCCTTCCTCTTTAATTTTGACGAGTTATGCACACCAAAGTAAAACAGGAAAATTAAAAATTTCAGAAAAATATGTTAGCAGCTTCTTCACGAGGACTCCAGAAACCTAGATTCCACTTGAAAATCTGCAAAAATCTTTAGATTTTTAAATAAAATAATAATAATAATAATAATAATAATAATAATAATAATAATAATAATAAAAAAGATTCCTAAAAAAATATGTGAAAAACAGGCTTACAAATGTCTATTCCAGAAAGTACTAAAAACATCTTTGGCTACATTAGAATAGTACATATTATAAGCTTAAGACAGCAAAACAATAATCTGAACCTGAAAATTAATTTTGTAAGTCCTGAATAGTAGACCCTCATGACCATGTATTTGCTTAATAACAATTTCGCCACAACAAAAACAAAATGTGAGTTCTGGCAAGAAACATCGTTATATGGATAAAACTATAGTAGGATATCACAAATAATTATTATTTGGTCCCTTTTAATTTGTGGTAATAAGGGATTACTGTAAATACGTATGCACATAAGTTTCACCATGTAGTAGACCTTTGTGCTATCTGAGACCTATTATCCATTTCATCTTTATCTAAATCTTGTTTACAATGTAACATTCTAAATTCTAATTGGAAACCCATGTTCATTAATTTGGCATATTTAAGAAGAAAACATTGACAGAAGATATAGTTTTCTTAAATTAAATAACATGCTCTTGAAATTAAAGTTAGATAAAGGCTAATTGTACACTACACTTTGCACACAAACGGTAGCAGATCAAATAGAGGTAAGCTTTACAAAATAATTACAATTTCAGAAAAACCAAAAAACTGGTTTGAATTGCTTTTAGAAAAAGGGGAACTCACATTAGTGCAAAGTGCATAAATGCAAATAAATAAAAAAGTATATAATACATTGAATGATATTGAAATCTTTATTGAGATCAACAGTTTATTTATTTGATGGATTGAAGGGATTGTCCAGAACACACCAAGTAGTTGAAAGGTACTTAACTTATATTCTTCTTTGAAAGATGTTAAATTATTTACTACTTGAGAATACAGGAGAGCCATGCGTTTGTTGTAATGCAAAATAGATTTTAATATTCATATGAAATTGATGACAGGAAGTTGTGTATAACAATAAACAAATGTTTTAAAATAACATTTTTAATCAATACTGAAATCTCAAATTTTGCGTTATTATAACGCAGGATAACACACCATCACTGTTGCAAATTCACTCTCACTTCTGCATAGGGCGCTAATGACTTTACAAGTAGTACACCATGATTTGTCACACGAGTTGCGGTGAAATTCACAATGCGTAAGGTTTTGCAACAAGGGTTCTTACAAGCTCTTTTTATGACACTATTACGCCACCAACTGGGTAAAGAATTCTGGAGGTTTAATGCATCTGCAAGAAAACATGAAAGAAAGGCTCCTTTAACGGCCCTGTTAACGAGACTTTGTTTCCTCGCTGGATCTCGGGCAGATTTCCCCCAAACGTTTGCTCGAATGCACATTTTTTGCACTCCAACATCTGAAACCCCGATTGATCCTCCTGTATCAATTTCCTGGAGGAGAGGGCACGACGCACCAATACTCCCGAGAATACTGTCATCGCAGACGAAACGGAGGGAGATTTGCTGCAAGCGGGGAAGAGAATGGAATGCCGCTGCCAGGGGCGCAGATGTTACTGGGCTACCCGTGAACCAGGTGACGTCTTCAATTAGTAGAACACGTAGTCCCGAAGCGCGCCCGGACGCCAGTAGATCTAAAAAGCGCGAACGATACCAGCGTCGAACATGGAGCACGGCCAAACGACGTAAATCAGGGTTCAACAATAGCTCCAGAACGAGAACTTGCAAGGTGTCATGCAATCGTCCAGATTTAAGCACTTCTTCCACAAGCCTTTGGCGGAGAAACCACGGTATCAACATACATTCTGTCTGGTACATCTCTGAACACTTTCCATTCTCAAAATCGTATGACGAACACGCTACTTCCAAGAAACTAAGATAAGCCCTAACACAGAGCGTCTCGAGCGAAGGCACGGTGGGAGTGGCGTGCAAGGAATATTTTTTCTGTCGGTAAGGCATCTCTTCTTTTCTTCCACGTTTACACTGTACCGTTTCGGAAGAATCGCTGCGGAATCTTTCGCGCCAGACTCGTAGCATAGTTGCGTCAATGTGCAGCGGCGCTATGACGTTCGCTTCTCACAACCAATGAAAACATTCCACAGTCGTGTACCAGGAAGACACACTAAAGCGATCCAGACGAAAAGAAAGTCGGAATTTTTAAACTTGTCACTGCTGAAGGTTGCGTTGACTCGGATCGCACGTTCATACTGTTGTCTTCTACCAAGAGGACTTAAATATCTATCAAGGACACAGAGAGTTGACTGAACCCTCCTCGCTCAAAGGGCTTATTATCCACTGAATGGTTAAGGATAAGCATCCGGCGCGAGACAGTATGACCAGTTAGAATCCATTTTTACTAATAACAACCACTTGTAGCGTAGATCTAGATCCAGGCCAGCGACAAAGCGGAGCGGATCGAAGATAAACCGTAATGATGACCGGAGCAAACACACATTGCGAAACGAGAGCGAAAGTTGTCGCTGTCATTCCCTGTAGCAGCTCGTAACGTCTTCCTTTTACGACTCGAAACAAAACTAAATTGGTTGATATCATTGGCGTGACCGCGTAGCGGCTTTACATGAAATCATAACAAAGATAAGTGTCATATGCATGCACAGCGCTAGCCACGAGGAAGCATTAGGTTTAACTCTTCAATTTAGCACTTCATGAAATGCACTTTTGACCCAAAAAAAGTAGTAAATACGTCAATTTTGAAAGTTTCGTAGGAATACTGAACATAATGTTCATAAGCATTATACAAGAATTGTTAAAAATGTATTTACACGGTAAATACATTCAGTGTCAATTTTTTAACAACAGTTAATTCACCAATTGATAAATAATAATAATAATAATAATAATATAAATGCAATTTTGTTGCCTTGGTAAAATATTAGTTTTAGCGTGAAAAATTATCCTCTTACTCCAGACGCAAAATTCAAATAATAATATACGTGTTGGGCACTTTCGAATTTAGCTAGTGTTCCAAAACAAATCTTCACAAAATACCTCGAGACCTTCACTTCACTTTGGCATCAAAAGAACAAAGAAAGTCGACTCTTCTGCAACAAAATCGCATTGCATCATTAACATTTCTTTCATTAGCAGTTCTTCGTAAAGGGTGACTAATTATCGACAGCAACAAATAATAAATTACAACCTGCCTGCGACATTTTTACTTGTGAGAGGGAAAGAAATGTGAAAACTTAACCCGCGTACAAAAACGACAAATTATAGAATTACGAGAATACATTCCATAAGTAAACCATTTTCGCCAAGTAGAAGTTGTTGGATGCAACATTATTAAGTGACCCTTTTCTCACATATATTCTATGTTCTCAAATAAAGTCAGAAAGCTAGCATAATTCATTTAATTCTTTAGGTATAATGTGTTATTTTGCGGAACACGATAGTGCATAGTACAATTTAAACTAGGTGTGCTCCAAAACTACGAACTTTCCCGCACTAACAACGGTTACGTAATATTATAATTCAGAAATTTCTGACCATATTGACACATCTCAGCCTCACTTGAACTCATTACTAATCGTAGCGCATTAGGCGGCGAAAACTAATTCTTTTAACGCTAAAACAAACACAATTTCGTCAATCCAAAACTGTTTAATACAGTCAGAATAATCACTTAACAATGACAAGTAATTCTGAGAATTTCAAACAGCCTTGTCGCAGTGTCCATCGTCATACCTCGAAAGACTTCAGCAGAAGAAGAGGGGGAAATTAAGATATCTTCGAAATTGCGAATTCTAAGAAAAAATATCTATCTTCAATATTATAGTTGTAGAAAGACTGACAATAGTTTGAACATTTGCAATTTTCGAAAATGCAGAGTGTTCCACGAAAATGCGGCCTGCGTCATTTTTAAGCGTCGTTAGCTCTATCAAAAAAGGAAGCCATTTTTGAGAAAATGTTTAAAATATTAAGGGTTCATGTAAAATGCACCAACAATTAGAAATATTCGTTTAAAATATTCACAGGGCCTTGAGCTCGGCCAGATCGATGGAGGAATATCAATTTTAGTGAAAATCGTGTGAAAGATTTACGTCCTAGCGTTGTGAACGGATGGACAGACCTTTTGTCGTTAGTCAATTTTCGGTATCAAGAAATCACAAAACGTGAATTCTCAGTACACAATGTGTTACAGGAAGTAATTTACTACATATGGGAACAAGAGTTATCCACATGTTAGGTATCAGGGCCCTCCATAAGAGATTTTGTTAGGCGCAGCATTACAAAACTTTCTCTTAATTACGTAAAAAGTGAAAAGAGTTCACTTCTGCATTATTGTCAGTACAGTAACATGAACGCTTCTAATTTATACAAACTAATCCAGACTAATTTCTTAAGTGATTTAATATGCATGGTAATTAAATTCTAGTTATTTGTTCTGAAATTTAAGTATGGATTTGAACTTTATACCACACATTAATGAGGGTACGGCCAAATTTAAAAACATTTTATTCATAAATAAATATTGTGTACGAATAAACTTAAAATAATTATGCGTCTATTTCTCCATTAATTAATGTGATTGGTTATTGAAAACCCTGTTGAATCATATTGGGTATCATACAGCTC